GGATTCCGCTTACTGCACTGGTTGATGCTTGCTTTCACCTTAGTCTGATAAGGATTTTGCGATGTTTTCAGGGAAAGCCGAGGAGTTATTTCCTTACGTATTACAGATTTGTGGAAAATCATGATGTAAAATCCACCAAACACCTGTTTCTTAACTTGAATTTGTTAGTCTTAATTATTATTTTTCTCTTCAAATGTATTGCATGTATTTTGAAACTGCAGCAAGTTCTTGTAAACAGTATTTCTAGAAGAAGCATCAGTGGTTGCTGTATGTTATTATTTCCATGTGCATTTACAAAATGTTTTACTTTTTTTAATTTAGATTACGTGGATAAACCTTTGGAAAAACCTTTAAAACTGGTACTTAAAGTTGGAGGAAGTGAAGTGACTGAACTTTCTGGATCAGGGCATGATTCTAGTTACTATGATGACAGATCAGATCATGAGCGAGAACGACATAAAGAAAAGAAGAAAAAAAAGAAAAAAAAGTCTGAGAAGGAAAAAGAAAAGCATTTAGATGATGAGGAAAGAAGAAAGAGAAAGGTAAGTTGTGACTTTTAAAATTCAGATGTACCAGACTTCTTCATGCTTGCTTATCAAATCTAAAATCTGGGGCGGATTTTGGTTTTTTGTTGGTTTTGTTTTGTTTTTTAAATGACTGTTGCAAGAAGCTTATTGTTTGGAGACAGCACTTCACAAATGTAGAAAACTCCTCTGTGTGAGTTAGTGTATTTCTCCCATTTAAAAGAGATTTCCCTGTGGTGATTTTTTGAACGAAGTAAAAGCTTGTTTCTTGTAATTGCTTGGTTTTCTTGTCTTTGTAGGTGTGATTACGTCCATTTTTAAGTTGAATGTTTTGTATTTCAGCCAGGTCAGAAACATGTTTTGCTATCTTTTGAGGAGGGTATTTTCAGCTTTTCATATAAATCTAGTTTGCATTTCTGTACCTGAGATATGCCAGTTATTGAACATTGAAATTGATATGCTTACTCTAACAGCTTTCTGAAATCTGATCTGTTGAGTGCTGTGGTACAATAGTCTTGTTGGCTCTTGCTTAGAATAACCTGCATGCTAGACTTTGTGGCTTTGTTAGTAGAAAAGGGTGTGGCCACCTTAGTTGTCTGTGTTGAACCTTTAGGAATTAGATTGAAATCAGCAAGAAAGCACTGACGGTACAATTACCCGTACAATTCTGTTTTAGTAGTATTTGGTTTGTGTACTAATGATTCTCTGACCTATCTGCTTTTTTTAATTCTCTCCTGTCACGTAGTTTTACTGTTCTCATATGACAGCTTTTCGGTACTACTTTGTATGTGTGTACAGCTAACTTGTCATTTTGAATTTATTTATTTGTTAGCCTTGTATTGCTTGAAAGTGATATATGTTGTAGGATCATTCAGAAGCTCTTGAGTACAGGGCAGATAGTGGAAAATTTTCTTTGTACAAACATTTTCGAATGTTTCAGTTAAGAGGAAGGCTGGGACTTGAAATGTCGCAAAACAACTTGTCTTTAATACAAGATCTCGCAACATCAAATCAAATTATTTATTTTGCCTTTGCTAAATTGTCTGTGTGGGGGGTTCATTTGGATTTTCTTTTTCCCAGAACTTCATTATTAGTGCATGCAAAAGAAGCTAACAGATAGATAAGTAACAAAACCGTAGTCTAAATGAGGTTAATGAAAGTATGTTTTTCTGTGCGAACATCAATAATAACTGTGAGGTTATAGGAATGACTTGGGCATGCCTTTGCTTTGAAGGTCAGGAAGAGATCATTAATTGCCACCACTGTTACAGAGCATTTCTTATGGTTCTTTTGTAGACTTACGAAATTATCATGTACTTCATTGATTCGTGTTTAATGCAGCAAACAACAAAACCACAGAGCTACAGACTGATCTTTACTGAATAATAAATTAACTTTCTTCACTGTCTGGTGTAGCTTATTATCATGCAATTTTACATATAAATAGCTTCAGAATTTAACATCCTTTTCAGTAAAAGTACAATAACTAATGATAGAACAATAGTATATTAAATACAAAGAGGCAGAAGGTGAACAGTATTAACTTTGATCGGAGAAGAAAATTGAAAAGTGACAGTGAAAATGTATGCACTATTGTTTAAACCACATTATGACTCAGATATAGAAACGAAAAATCACTATCTCTTACCTTTTGGTATGTGGGATTATACTTTCCAAATATGTTCTTCTAAAATCTGTGTTCTTCCTGCTGTGCTAGGAGGAGAAAAAGAGGAAAAGGGAGAAAGAACAGTGTGACACTGAAGGAGAAACTGATGATTTTGATCCTGGGAAAAAAGTGGAGGTTGAACCTCCTCCAGATCGTCCTGTCAGAGCATGCAGAACTCAGCCAGGTGAGCAGTGTGAAAAATTAAATCATCTTGGTTGTTTTTAAAAGTTCACACACAACAAACCTTTTATCAGAGATACCAAAATGTAAAATTTCAATGGGGATTTGCTGAAATCTAGAGACTTTATTTTTTTCCAACTTTCAGAACTTTCTACTATATGAAAAGTCAATATGCCTTTTGCTGCTTCTAGGTTTTAGTAGGTTTGTTTTCCTGTGGCTGAACTTGCCAAGGACACCTGTCTCTGGCTCCTGTTACTTGGCAGAATAAAGCTGGCATAAAAGTGTTATGGTGCATAAACTTCTCATTCCTTCTCCTTAGCACTTTCTCAGAATTTACAAAACAGTGGTCAGAATATCTGAAACTAAGTTTTGCTCAGTTCAAGGGAAAAAATCTTGTAGAGACTGCTTAGCTGTTGTTACAGTCTTTTTTAAGTTTTAATATTAGTATCTCTGTTTTCATCAAAAATATGGCAGTAAGTTGTGATAGGGTGTCTCTAAAAACCATAGTCCCTGCCAGTTTTCATTTACCAATCTTCTTTAATTGTAATCACTAGCCAAAATACTTACCAGTTTTGTGTGGTAACTTCTGCACATTTAATCTATTCGGATTTTGCATGCTTTCTCTACCTGTAGCCATTGCTTGATAGTTAAAACTCAACATTATCCAGTGGAAACTTTTACTTACAAGGATTTTCAAATATGTCATAATCCCAGTACACGTATACCTGGAAATGGAATTTAGCAGCAAAAAGTTGAGTCTTTAGGAATATTGTGAGTCTTGTCAATGGGCGGTGTTCCAAAGACTGGTCAAATAATTTGATGGCAAATTTTCCAATTACAACTTTTTCTAATTATTACATTTTTCTAATAATTTTCTAATTTTTACATTAAATTGAGGCATGGTGTCCATCAAATGTAAAGGTGATCTAATAGAGGTAACTGAAATTTTCTGATCAAAGCTTTATGTCTCTGGGTAGTCTTGGACCCTTGAAAAACTGGCAAGCTAAAAGCTCGTCTCTGTATTGGCAAGGCTTCTATTTTCATCTGCTTGCAAGGTATCATTCGAAAGCATATAAATTAACCTGTTCTGGTTAAGAAGGGAAATGTCTCTCCATTATTGTGATGAAGAGTTGAAGTTCTAATTCTAGATTTCAGCATGCTGCTTCTTTAGTTTTTCAAACTTCACATTAAAGCCAGTCTTTCTGAAGTAGGTGCATGGAACAGGTAATTAATGTGTAGTGTTTATTGTTTAATCTGTACAGGAACTGAAATACTAGTTAACAGTACCTTTCTTGCCAGCAAATCTGCGTCTATTTGTCACTCTTTTTTTTTTGATTGAAAAGATTCAGAGAAGCTAATTGCATGGGTGTTAGGTAAAGAAACCATTAAAATTGCACAGATAACATGTTGTAAGAACGTGGATTTCCCAACTGCAGTATTTGAGCAACCAAGTCTTACTTTTTTTATAGGAAAGGAGAATTAACACCTTATTTTCACCTTATTAATATGTTTTCTTACAACTACTGGACTTAGTATTACATCTGATTTAATGTCTGCTAGTTTTTAATGTGGTTAAAACTCAATAAGTAGTCAAGGAAAAGAAATAGTTACTGTATGCTTAGAAATCTGATAGTCTTCTGGTTTGAAATCCATATCTCATTGACCTTCAGATCAGTATAAACTGTACTTGTAGTTAAGATTTTCTCTCTGGTATTTATATTTTTAAATAAATAATATACCTATACTCTGTTTCATTGTGCTTATCTGTGTTTCCTTCTCAAAACTGCAGCTGAAAATGAGAGCACACCGATCCAGCAATTACTAGAACACTTCCTTCGCCAGCTTCAAAGGTATTAAGCGTATTGTATCTACAGATGTGTCAACAGTGTCTAATGCATGTTTATATGTGTTACTTTACAACTTCTTATCCTGGTTTTCTGTTGAAAATAGTGCCTAAAGACTGGCTGTAATATGTTTGGTAAGCTTTGCAACTCCGTCAGACCTGGTAGTTTTTAAAGATTGGTTGAGGAAGATTATCACCAGCTATGCAATTCTAGCTTTTGCCAGGGAAGTGTTTTGGGGAGAGGGTATGTTGCCATTATAAATTTATTAAATATTAATGACTTAGTTTAGGAATCAAAAAACAGTTATGAATTTTAACAGTTTAAAAGATTGAACTGTTCTCATGAAATTTCATTTTATTCTGTGTCCTCTGTCAGATTGTCAGATACCAAAGCAAGTTCATAGCTGCTTACTTGATAATCCTCTTAATTTGAAGAGGCTTTTTATTTTATTGTTTTCCATAAGATGTTAATCCTGTACCTCATGTTTAAAAAATAAAAAATAAAAAAACCCCAATGAAACAAAAAAAAACCCCAACTCCAAAATCTTTCATTTTCCTTTTTTTATTAGATAGTGATAAGCTGAATTCACAACTAATTCGAAAATATTAAACACTAGTTATTTTTAGAGGATCTCATGAACAAGAATTGAAGAGGTTTACTCAGTGAAGCCAGAAGACCCATTTGGAGTGTAGCTAGAGACACAGAAAGTGTACAAGAAATAAATAAGTAATTCAAGAACTAACTGAATCTCTTTCAAAAATTTGACATGTGTAATCAAAATTCTGTCATGTATCAGGAAATTTTTCAAACATGCTTATATTTTATGAGAGTGCTTTTAGTGATTTTTCTTTTTAAGTAGTACTATTCTTTTTATACTATTAATGTGGTATGAAAACAGCGATCATTTTGTTTGCTGATATAAATTAAATGTATTGTTTTTATTTTTAGGAAAGATCCTCATGGGTTTTTTGCTTTTCCAGTCACGGATGCCATCGCGCCCGGATATTCCATGATAATAAAACACCCCATGGATTTTGGTACGATGAAGGAAAAGATTGCAGCAAATGAATACAAATCAGTCACTGAATTCAAGGTGAGTTGATAAGAGATTTTGTTATTTCAGAACTCTTTAGTAAAAAACTAAAGATTCTTTTTAGCTGTAGAAGCCTTTCTTAAATTAATTATTTTAACATGCATTTTTTTCAGAACTGAGCACTTTTGTATAATCTGTGTGTTAGAATGGATTTCTTGCTTTGTTTTTCACTGTGGAAGGTCTATATTTGTCAGATTCTATTATAGTCTACTACAAATTGCTGTGGAAACCAAGAACATGCTCTGAAGTTCTATGGAATTCATGCTGCTAGACATGAACAGGTATAAGACTATAACAAAGCAGTTGAAGAATGTGGAGCTCTTTGTTTTGGGTTTTTGTTGTGTGTGGTTTTGTTTTTTTTTAATCTAGATCTGGTTAGATTGATTAAAAGGCAATTTTGACCTGTCTTGAAGAAAACTGTGGATATATTGAAGCATTTTGTATAAGATTCAATAACAACTGTGTATTTTTTACCTTTAATTATCCTGTTTTCATATAACTTCATTTGGAATGGTCTTTTGGCAGAAAGTTACTTGGCAAATATATTGGCAACTTGCCTTAGCTATTTTGTGTATTGCTATTGCCATAATACTGTCTTGGATGCATTGTGGTTTTACAGACAGTGCAGTAAGAAATCTTTTAATGGTATTGCCAGCTCCTGGAAGGAAAGGAGTTTTCTTTAACTGATTCATGAAGTTCCATTAGCTGCCTTCAGTATTACTGTTTTCTAGAGTGGTGTTGGTACAACAGTAGACTTGGCAGAGAGCATTGGCTTGCTTCTCAGTGTTAATTTCTTCTTTTTAAAGGTCTAGCAAGGTGAGCAAAGAATGGCTTATATTTCCTATAGGTGCTTTGACAAAGATTATTCTGTGTTATGTATGCGTTATTTTTCAAAAAAAGTATACAGATTTACAGGAAATAGTAAGGATTCATAATAGCATTGCTATTAACCATGCCTTCAGGTCTCTAAATTCTGTTGGCTTGCTGTATTGTTTTATTCAGCAACTTAAAAAGGAAGTTGGAATGGGGGCTCTGTGGCTCTATTTAGTTACAGGCAAGGTTGCAATCTTTGGTTGCAAATATTGAAAAGTTATGAAGAGAGAAAAATATATTCTTAAATCAGGTGCCAGGTTAATTTATTAGGATCCAATTTTTGAAGTACCTGGAAAGACTACTGCATGATTCTTGGTTATTGATTTTCCAACTTCAGAAATTTTCAGAGACATGTAACAATATCTTTTTAATTCATAGAGCTTCTAATAATGCTTTCTATGCTTTACAGATCAGTAGCATGTGACTAGAAAAAAGGCACCCTAGAAAAAGCTTTGCAATCTCCAACAAATTTTTTTGGTTCTGTTTACAGTGGAGTGTTGCACCTTTGTTTTGGGAACTTGCATCAGTAGAAATTACTTGAAATTATGTATGATAGGTAACCATTCAAAGGAGAAAACAAAATCAGACTTGACTGTTCTGTTCCTTTGTTGCATGCAGTGGGCATCCAGAAGGCTGTTCCTTATGCTTTGGAGTTTTCTTCTTTTGCTTTTTTTCTAGTACAAGTGACCAAAGAAGTGGTGAAATTACTAGAATTAAAATGATATGTAAGACACTTTGTATCTTTCTGATCTCATTGTATTTCTCAACTCTATTCTGATTTAGAAAGCGGGAAAAACACTAAAAAATACTTACCTTAGTGCCTTGGTCCTTCTGTCAATTTCTCCATTTCTTCTGTTTGGTCCATTTGCATAAGGAGGAAATGTTATGTCTGGCATTCAGGGAAAAGTTTCTTGGTTTATTTTATAACCAGAAAGCCAATTCCAAGCACAACTGAGCATCTTGAAGCAAAAAGGGCTCAAACCTTTGCCGTTCTGTGTTACCTTTTGGCTTGCTTTTACTCCATGAGCCTGCTGCTAAAATGTTACTGTGTTTTTCACAGAACAGCCGTGATGGAATGGTATATTCCAGTCATTTAACAAAGGAGTTTGAAATTTTAACAGTTCTTTTGTTTTGTATTTTACAGGCAGATTTTAAACTGATGTGTGATAATGCAATGACTTACAACAGACCAGATACTGTTTACTACAAGCTAGCAAAGAAGATACTACACACAGGCTTTAAGATGATGAGCAAAGTAAGAGACCTATTAAAAACAAAAAGCAGAAACTCTTTGGATTTTTTTATCATACTTAAAGGGAACATAATACCAATGATAAATGTTATTTCATCCATCTATGATTAATTATAGCAGAGCCTGTTAGTGCTGCTATATTTAAGGGCTTGTTAGCATTCTTGTTATAACCACACCCTTATTTCTCAGCCTTATCTGCACCACTGAATTCTGTAGGAGCTTCTTGCACTGGCCTCAGTGGAAGCAGTTAAGATCCACATATATAAAACTCAACTGTAAAATACTGCTTCTGGCTGAAACGTTAAAAACAAGATCTCATTTAAGTTTTATTTCTGCATAAACAAGAAAGTTTTTCTTTTTTGAAGGTGATGGGTATAGGGGAGGTTTCAGGGGTTTCACAGATGCACCATATGCAAACACACTTTTTACTCAAATGCAGTTGTTGGCTTGTAAAATGAAGTTATTTTGGTGAGCTGCGCTGTGTGTGTGTGCGCGTGCGTGTGCATGTGTTGCAGTTATGGTAAGTTTTGTGTAAAATAGGCAGTTGTCTTTGCATATGCAGTTTTGTTTGTTTGTTTGTTTCTCTCTTGATAGTTGGGCTGCAGAAATTCTGATGCCATGCTACCATGACCAAATCATGTTGCATCGCCATTGGAAACGAGGCATTAAGAACAAAATAAGGCCATGGCCATTCCCATCCCATCCCATTATCATAGCATCTTGGCTATGAGGGAAAGGTTAAGTCCCTGCCGCTCTGTCCTTTTTGATTCTAGGAACGGCTGTTAGCTTTGAAGCGCAGCATGTCGTTTATGCAGGACATGGATTTTTCTCAGCAGGCAGCTCTTTTGGGTGATGAAGACACAACAGTTGAGGAACCTGTCCCTGAAGTTGTTCCTGTACAAGCAGAGACTGCCAAGAAATCCAAAAAGCAAAATAAAGAAGTTATTAGGTAAAGGTTTTAATGGGCATGCTTACTGGTTTGGTGCAGCTTTTGTAGTATTAGACAGCCAAAGAATTGAGCATAAAAACTCCTTTCAGCCTTTCTCCTTGTGGTCCATAGGATAAAAAGGCAATTTCATTGTATTTTATTTATTTGTTTATAGGACTAGTTTAATAACCCAGTGATTCCCAACTTGAAACAAACAATTCAAAGAATGACTGCATATTCTTTAAAACATTTACAGTTAATGTACATACAGATTTTTTTATCTTTCTTTATATTAAATAATGAGTAGTTTCTTCTCATGATCATTTGAAATGTTCTTTCATTTTTAACATAGCCACAACTACCTTTCATATCTTGTCCTTTTTTTTTTTTTCTTCTTGAAATGAATGACTGTATCAAAATCTAACAGTATCTTTCTAGGAGAGCAAAGTGGCCCCTAAATTATTTTATTTAACTTTGGTCTTATCTGACAGGATATAGAGGTACAGGAGATTATTTCTGGAGCAGATGATAACATCTACCCAGTGAAACCTTATTAAGCTTCTTTGTAAAATACATTGCTAGTGCAATAGCTATCTTCCAGTTAATAGGCACTCCCATGTCACCAAGTTATCTTTTTATAGCTAAAATCTAATTTTAGTCAAATTAAAGGGTTTTATTTTCTATTTTATGAGGAGATTTTACCAGAAACTGATTTACAAGCTCATCATGTTGTTTAGTGTTCTTATGTAGACATCATAGGGTAGATGCTGATTTTAAATTGTAGAGCATTATATCAACTGGAATTTTATGAAAATAAAACTGTAACAGAACATTACTAGTCATGTCTTAAATAACCTGGTCATGTAGATATGATCAGCAGGCTTCTTTCTTAAACATCCAAAGCAAAAAAAGTGAAATGTAACTTGTTATTTCAAGTTCATGCTCTCTCATTTTTGTTAAAAGTGAACTTCAGAGTTCTAATTAGCCACACGGTTTTTGTTACACTTCAAGGATTTTTGTAATCCTGCTTAAAGTCTGATGGAAGAAGTAGTATTTTAATGTAGTTGTTTTGTGGAAATAGCAGACTGCAATATGTATCTTCAAAAATAATTTTAAACTGAGTAATTTTTTTGGCTGGAACTATTCTAATGTCAGCATACAGAAACATATCTGTTGCTGTATCGTGCAGAATTATCAACGTGTAATTTGTTCTTTGTTTAATGGATTGTGTATAAGAATTAATGTTAAGACTTGATTGCGGGGGGGAGGTGGTTTGGGTTTTGTTAGTTTGGTTTGACTTTTTTTTAAAAGAGACGATGATTTGGTTTCTCTGGTGCCCAGGACAATAGATTTTCTGTTCTTAATTCTTACGTAGACTCTATTACAGGAATAACTTTGTACTTCGCCACTTCTTGTTTGATCATCATCAAATACAGATAGCTAACAGAGCAAGAAATTGAGACCGCCGAGCAGTATAGTACTGCTCTGTCTTTAATAGCTACCTTAACATACAATTCAAATAGTTAAAAATAACCGACCTGTAATTTTATCCTGATACCAGTGTCCTTGGCAATCAGTTGTGGTATAAATTTACTTTCCTGTTCTTTTCAGTGTTTATGTAACTTAGTAGTTGGAATTTATTTGGGTTTTTTTTTATTAAATTGACCTTTTAAACACTTGTATTTTGGCATCAATAGGATAGATACTATTCTTTTTGATGTACAATAAGAGCTTTGGGGGAAGAATTGAACCTAATAGCAGATATTTATGCCTTCATATTTTACAGTTAAAAACAGAGAAAGAGCTGAAGTCAATGTTTGTAAAGTGTTAAAGCAGTTTAGACCTCTATACTGTAGTTTGAAAAGTGACTTGATCACTTAGACATCCTAATATCTAAGTAGTTCTTGAAAATTTTGTCCAGCATGTTACAACCTTCTGAACATTCTCTCAAAATTCTTGTCCATTAAGTACTCTGTAGAGTGTGATAGAAAGTACCTGTTGTTGAGGAGTTTCCTGCTGTGTACACCCTTTCTTAAAGTTTCAATGAAGCAAAAGTCGTATAACACGTTTGTCTCATAACAGTATGATCCTGTGATCTTTTTATTGTCTTTAATAGCAAAACTTTCTTGTGTATCGGATCTGAATCTCTATACAGAGAGAAATTCTTAGCTAAGCAAATGGAAGAAGATAACCCAGGAGAGAGAAATGGATTTGGTGTGAGGAGATGCTCTACCCAGTACCTAAGGTGTTTGGCCCTAGTGTCTAATGTCCATATAATGCCCTGAAAGATTTTGATGTACAAAGTTTATTTTAAATATATAATGTAATGAAGACTGCCATATCCTATGGTATCTTCACACTTCCCCTTATAATACTGTCTTTCTCTAATTTTGTATAATAGCTAAGATATATCCTGTTCCATCTTAGGAATGCTTATTTGTTATGTTTTTATTATTTTGGTGTTTTAATTGAAAGGGATCTGCTGAAAGATAAATGTTAAATTCTGTTATTTCAATGAGAAGGAATGGTGTGATTGATACTGATTAGGAATACTAATTGCCATTATTAACAAGCATAAGAATTAAAGGACTCCCTGTTAGACTGGGAGCAGTGTCCTACTTCTCCAAGCAACTAAACAACATAATCCTCATAAATGCTGCCTGTTGGTGTTTTTTTCTCAGATTAGAGTTACATAGTCTCTGTTTCCTCATCATGTAATTTCTTTTCTGTATCTTTCTATTTGGAATTTGTGAAAATAGCATATTTGTGTATGTGGGACACTAAGAATGCATACGGCATTCACCTTGTATTAATGCAACTTTACTCCAAATCTCTGTTTTGTAATACTTTCTTTATTTTCATCAAGGTACAGAAACAATTAAATTTTTGAAGTTCAGTAGTTTGGTACTTCTCAGCTTCTACTGCAAAACTTCAATTTCCTAATGTGATTATTATAATTCCACTTAAATGCTGAAGTAGACTGACACTGGGAGAGGAGTGGGACTGATTGTTCTATTTAGCAAACCCAGAATTGAGCCCTTTGTTTTGTTCTAGCTTTTAATTTCTACAACTACTGCTCTTCTCTTTCTTAGTTGCATATTTGAACCTGAGGGAAATGCGTGCAGCCTGACAGATAGCACTGCTGAAGAACATGTCCTGGCACTAGTGGAACATGCAGCAGATGAAGCTCGGGATAGGATCAATCGATATCTACCCAACAGCAAGGTCTACTGCACAACAAAGTTCACAATTCTATTTTGTGTCTGACTATTGAATGCTTTGTTTCATTGTAGGAAACAGGCTTTAGTATGATGTTTTCTGAGACTGTAATATCTAGGATGTATGTTCTGTGTGGAATAGCAATACGACTGTTGTCTATCATTTAGTTCCCACTGAAGCCCATTGTAGAGTGTCCTAAATGGATTTCAAGTTGTATTGTGTGTTGAACATCTTCAGAAATTCACTTGCAGAAAACATTGAAATGTTGCTCAGTCTTGAATCCGACTTCTTTAATTGCAACCCTTAGCATTGAAAGTGATTAAAATAGCATCACACTCTTCTTATTGTTGCAACCTCAGAAAAAGCGAACTTTGGCATAGGTTGAAGGGTTATTAGGATTTCCCCCCACCAAATTAAGGAATTCAGGAATTTTTAAATGTTGAATTACTGTTTTCAATGAGAAGTCCAGAACCTCTTGTAGTTTTGTACCTAGAATTAGTAGCTGTCAGCTATAACACATTCTTGCATGAGTACAAAATACAGACGTCCTTCAATGACTAGGAGAAGATAGCAGTAGTTTGTCCATGTTGGAATTTTGAACAGGGCTAACCACAGGTTTGATTATCTTGAACATGATTCTGATACTGTGCCATGTGTTTGGTTTTTGTGCTGTTCCAAGAGTTAGAAGGAAAAGCTCAGTGATACTGTTAGTGCAGTTTTCTCAGCACGATCTGTTTATGAGCTGTGTTTTTCTTAGCTGTGTGATAATGGTGGATTCCTTCATTATTTCATGCTAGGGTTGGAGTGAATGCTACAGGCATTTGCTACAGGCCTATGTTGAGATATGTTTACTCTGTTTCCCTTGCATCGTGTGAAGTCTTATTACCGTCTTTGTCGTCACTTCTCATTCTGTCACATACTCTAGTGACCACTGCAGTCGAAAAAAGAATCAGGATATTGCTACATCCTGCATATTCCACCTATTTTTTTTAACAACCATTGCAGAAGAAACATTTGCTTTGAAACACTAGTGGTAGCAGTTGTGTCTTCAAACTTAAATGTCTGTTTCTTGGACAATGGGTTTTGTTATGCAGTCACCTTAGGCTCAACTGGATTAGAAAGGAAAGCCTCAAAGAACAGTGGGAGAAGGTTTAGCTTCTTCAGTATATTTCTGTTTCTTTAGATAATTAGAAGACTTGCTATGATTGAATGCTATTTGAAACATCCAAAGTAAGAGTGGCTTTTTTAAAACCTTTTAAAACAATACCAGTTTTCTGCTAATTGCTAGCTTTACTGAAAAGCCCTTTCATGCTGATGCAGTCAGTTTTGCAGTGTTCAAGAAGGAGTTGTCCTAGGTGTGCACCTTTTGTCTAAGCTGTTAATGAGCTAGACAACCCACTGCAGATCCCACTGAATCTAGGTAACACTGACGTGTTCTTAGAGTTCAGCTGTTGTTAACTTTTATCATCACTTGAAGATACTGTTCCTGTTCATTCTCTTTTCAGCATTTGTCACCTCTGTTTTTATTATATGCCAACATTGGCTTTGGCCTTATGTATGGAAAGAGTTTTAAACTTTTTAAGAAGGAAGGAGGGAAAAAAATAGGGGAGAGATTTATTGTTCAATTTGCTTGGAAGTATTTACTAATATTTCTTTAGGGAGAGTATAGTTTTCATTTTCCATCTTTACTGAGAAGTTAAGGTCTTTTTTGCGTAATTCATGGGTAGTCAGTTTCTGACATCAGCTTAGTTTGTTGCATCAGTTCTGGCTCTATCTTTACAGACCTCAGTGTGTTCTGTTGTCTTTCACATCTCTGGCTGTCTTTTTAATGTTGTGTTTGTGTGCTCTGATAGGTCTGTCACAGCACTTCTTCCTCTTTAAGAATTTGATAGTGTGTTCATAAAAGTACTTGTAATTAGAGAAGGTTTTGAGTGAGACATGAAAACAAGCAGTTTAGTCTAGTTTTGAAAATAAACAGTGACGTATGTTGTAGATAGGAGTTATGGTTCTGCTTCTAAAAAGAAAATGTGTTCTAGACTTGGCAGTCAGAAAGCCTGGCTGCGTACAAATTATAGTTTTTGTCTTGGATGCAAACTTTAGATCTGATTTAGGAAGATTAATAAAGAGTTGTATATATGATATACAAACTTTTACTCCTAAGTCTTCTCTTCTGAAGCATTTGCTAGGTGGTGATAAATAGTTGTGACTCAAGATTCCCTATATTAAAAAGGGAATACCAGAGTGCAAGATCTGAGTACAGCTAAAAATGCTTTTTATAGTTTTCTGTGTAAGTAAGCAACTCCTTCTTAAGTTTGGACTATTTTGAATTATTACTTCTATATCTTTGTGGTTCTATTTACAGATTGGTTATCTGAAAAAAAATGGAGATGGAACTTTATTATTTAGTGTAGTAAATTCGTCTGATCCAGAAGCAGAAGGTAAATACCATAATCTTTCAAGCAAACATTTCTGATGTTGAATATTCTAGCACATTTTGAAGTCTTAACTGTACATACAGATCGTGTGTAGTACAGACGAGTTAAAAAAAAATTATTCCCCAAACCGTTGTCCTCAACAGCTATATTTAGTATCTCCAATATAAGATGATTCTCTTTGCCTTTCAAATTTTCCCTCTTCAGATCATCTCCATTTTACTAATGCCAACAGTGACAAGGTAAAATAGTATCTTTTTATAAGCACTTATACATTGCTACAACTTGGAAGACAGGCTTTCACTCCAAGTACCCTGTAGTGTTAAATTCTAATAGACAGAAGGTGAATGAAAGTGCTGTAATCCTATGTAAATGTCCAATACACAAATTCAGAATCATCTTCTACCTTTTTTATTTCCTAATTTAAATTATTAGCTAAATTTCAGTTTTAAGTTAATTAGGGTTTACTTAATTGTTTTGCTGTAGTTCCTTGATCTTTTCTGTGGGTTTTTGTTTGTATTACTACTATACATTATTTATATTGTCTTATGCTTTCCACTTGTTTTAGTTCTGAGCTCAAAATGCAAAAGTTTTGAAAGTTTGTAATGACTGAAATGTCATAGTCTTTATGCTGCTGTATGTCATGTTGATTTAACACTTTTTAGAACTTTTAGTTCCTTCTCTGCACCTTTTCAGATTGGAATTCATTCACAGCTTACCTATTGTTGCACTGATGAGTGCATGAACCCTTTTGACTAGTCACATTTCTGTTGATTTTTTTTTTGATTGGCAATACAAACCTGTAGCTCTTATTACTGTCTAAATTCCTTTTCATTTTGTAGTAGATTTTTCTGGAATGAAATTGAGCATTTTGGCTTCTATCATACCATTACTTATTTCTGAAAAAAATTAAATACGAAAATGAATGTGATTTAACACCTCTGAAGTCATGCCACTGAAAATTTAAACAGTGATGGTAACGGAAGCTGGGCAAGCTTTCACTGCGTGGTGTAAAGTACTGTACTGCTTCCTGATGTTTCTGTGCTCCAGAATCTCTTTTTGATTGTTTGTTTAGTTAATACTAGTTACGCTTAGTTTACAGCTAATAATATAATCTGAATTTTTATTGTAGTTTTTTTGTGGTTTTTTTTAATCCTAGTAAGGTTCTAGGGATAAATTTGCTTTCTGTTGTTCAGTAATTGAGCATAATTGCCATTAGATTCTGTAACACCCAGAGAGATTTAAAATAACAAAGTTTTCTAAATGTTGTTGGGATATTTTTTTTTTTTAGTTTAGAAGCATATTCCAAATTATTTGAACCATTTTAATTAAGCAGTTCTCAGAACTTCAAAAGAGAGAAGTATTGCTATAGCCATAATGGTAATTATTTTAACAAGGTTCTTTACGTGGTGTCTGGGTTTCTTTAGACAAACTACCACTTAGTCAACATAAGAAATTGCTTTTATTGGTTCATAATATCTGGATCTTGAATGTTTGTGAATCAACTACTAAAAGAATTTCAGGTGCTGCTGTATACTTTAAAAGTGAAATGACCAAGCAAGCCATAGATTTTGTGAATAAGAGATGGAAACATATTTACATAATGTATTTGAAATTTAAATGGAGAACATGAATTAAACTACCTGTCGTTAAGGTACAGATTAAAAGATATTTAACCTTTATGGCAACTGCCACTTTTTAAAAGAGCAAAATCTAAATATTCACTATAAGTAATTTTTAAAGATTAAATGCTTTTCTAAAAATTATTATCTTCTTTTCAATCAAATTATTAGAGGAAGAGACTCACCCAGTGGATCTGAGTTCACTGTCAAGCAAATTATTACCTGGCTTCACTACACTGGGCTTTAAAGATGAACGAAGAAATAAAGGTAAATGCCAAATAACATGTTTTAACTTCGTGTTAATTAAATGTTTGAGCAATTCCTTGATATAAAATAGTTTCAGATTATACCTATCTCCAAACGAAAGTTCACTTGGGTATTTCTATAATATATAATTATTCCATTTTCAGCAGAATGCAGTTTTAATTAAACTGACTTTTTTGCTTATTACACATAATTTAATTAGGAGTTTAAGGATCAGTTTTTTGCCTTAGTGTTATAGCCACACTAGAAGCTTTCCAATAATGGTGCTCCGTTTTCTCTGGAGAAGATAATTTTTCCTGAGCAACTGCACTTAGAGTTGAGAAAAAAAAGCCTTTTGGTCATTTGCATTTTTGTATCATAGGACAAGAATTTCATAAACTGGATGTTTTTTCTACTATTATTGACATTTTTAATAGTTTCTAATCTGTTCTCCAGAAACTTACTGGCAAAGAACAGTGAAGTAGACACACACAAAAAGCAGAAATATAAAAGAGGACGGGGAGGTGAATCTTTTTTTGAGGGAGTGGGGTGGTTAACTTAGTTCTTTATTTTCCAGTAGTATAAGTACATTTATTTATAAGGTTAAAATAGTTGTGCTAATTCTAGAGTCTGGAAGTGTCCTTGAGATATTGCTCTTGATTTCCACTGGAGGAAAAAGCACACTGCACTTTTTGTTTTCTGAAATAGATACAGAATCTTCCCCCACCAAGTGATCTTTCACACTTGTGTTAATCATTTGTCATCTCTTTCTTCTACCTGTCTAGTAACCTTTCTTACAAGTGCTAGTACAGCACCTTCCATGCAAAACAACTCTATATTTCATGATTTGAAATCAGATGAAATGGAGCTCCTGTACTCAGCATATGGTGATGAAACTGGGATACAGTGTGCCTTAAGGTAAGTGCTTCCTTATTAGGAGGCCCAGCTTCTCATAGCAGTTTTATGAAAAGCAATTTGGACTAAATGTCAAATAGGAGCCTCCAAATCCTGATTTTTTTTTTTTTTTCTAAAATGTTTTTAAAAATAACTCACTATAGAACTTGAAGCTAGCTTTCATCCTGGTTGGTGGGGATTTTTTTGGTTTTGCGTTTGATGTTTTGTTTTGTTTTCATTTGCACTTTTAAGTTCCCCTGTTTTATTGCAAGGCTGTTATGGATCTTGTTATTAGGGTCTTTGACCATAGGATAGTAAAAGTTGCTAAAGATTGAGCATTTTGCTTTAAAGCCAGCACTAAGTAGGTTTAGATATGCATGTAATAGATTTCAGTGACTTTAAAACAGTGATATTTTTCAAGGAGTTTCAAAACAGTTAAAGCTACTTGAAAAGGAAAATGCCACTTTTCATTGAATTGTTAGTCTTGGCCGTAAAGAATTAATCACAAGGTTTTTTCTTTTCTTTGTGTGTGTGGTTTTGTGTTTTGTTTTTGTTTTTTTTTTTTAACCCACTACTAATGATGGTTCAAGTGAAAATTTGCTGGTAGTTGTGAAAAACAAGTTTGCACATACATTTACTTTCATTTAAAAAAAAAAAAAAAGGAGGGGGAGAAGGAAAAAACCACCCTATCTTGAAGGCCTTAATTGCTTTTCTGATGCATAAAAGACTAAACAAGGAAAATGTAGGTGTAACACAGCATCATTGGGGAAAACCATACTGTAAGTTGAAGTATTTTTTAATGAAAGTAAACATTTTCTGTAATGCTTATATCTCCATTCCTACTAGCTTACAAGAATTTGTGAAGGATGCTGGAAACTACAGCAAGAAAATAGTAGATGAACTTCTGGACCAGATCACTAGTGGAGATCATTCCAAAACTATTTATCAGCTAAAGCAGGTGTGTCCTTGGTGCACAGAAATGTCACAAGTTCATCAAAACCAGAATGGAACTGTTTCTGGTTTTTTAGTATTGTATAAGATGCTTTGTTTTCCACTGTCAGTTTAAGCAATGCAGGCCTAGCTGTTCATGCAACCGTGCAGTGAGCCAAGTTAGAAACTGAATTAATCAGCAGAGAAGTAATTTTTTTCTTTTCTCCAGCTAGATCAATTCTCCCATGTGGTTCACTGTGTGACTGTGGAAAGGAAGAGGCAGCAGGGGTGCAACATAGCGAGGGGGGGTGGGGATTGACCAACCAACGGAATGGTGTTAGGGCAGCCCTGAGACTCCATGCCATGACTTATGTATCCGCCTCTGAGTTGTATTGCAATGCTTTTGTTAAGGATTTTTTGGGTTTTCTTAATTTAAATGCAAAACGTATTCCTTGTGGAAGGATTAATTATTTGGAACATTGAAATAATGTTGAAGAATAGATTAATATTGCTGTACAGTTATCTGTTGCCCAACGGTGCTAACTTTTAAATTCATGTAGTATGTCTGAAGGAAAAACTTCTAACTTATTTCCAAAAGCACTTTACTGAGGAGATTCATACTAGGACTGGAGAAGAGATTTTTCTCAGAAGTATGTGTAATTCTAGTGGGAAAGTTTACACTCCCAAGACAAAATAGACTACCAGAAACTGCAAAATCTTGTTTCATGTTATCTTCACTCTGAAAACCACTCTTAATTTGAAATAATTGTCAACTCTTTAAAATGATGACATTCTGAATGATTCAAGAATAAAGAAAGGGAGGCAGAGGGGAGGCTGGAAGGCACTCAGGCTTTCTGACATGGTGGAAATGAGATTATGCTAAATCTCTGCAGACTTAGAAGTAGAATAGAGTGGATGATGTTTGGGGAAAAGGAGACAATAGAATGAAAAATACAAAGGAACATTCAGAATTTTCTGGGTATTTTTTTCCAATCCGTACTGGAAAAAGATTGTATATGAAACAGGAAGAAATGTAAAGGATTAGTTCCAAAAAAAATCTGAAAGTTCAAAACAATATTTTGAATATTCATCTACATCTAGAAATGTATGTATAAAACATATTGAACTTAGCTCTAAAATAAAAGATGTGCCTTTCCGTTTTTGCCAGCTTGTTCTAGGAATATTTTTCCAAACAAGGATTTCTAAATATCTTTCAGATGGCCAATGGCTTTTTACCCTTAGAAATGCTGTTCAGTTGTGACATGTGGATATGTGAAGATTTTGTGCAATTAAATGTGTTTCAGTGATGATATGCCATGGTGTTTTATACTGGAGTATCTTGTGCTGCCTAATTTGAGTAAGAATGAGTATCTCTGAAAGTGCAACCTTTAGTGATTTGGAATCAGAAGTTACTGAAGTAATGACTAAGCTACTGCAGTTGATTGTAAAGTTTATGGGCAGAAGAAATAGTGTAAGGGGACTTAAAGATTAGTTAACATGCATAATATTAAAATATTTCAAAACAGTAACTGTTACATTGTAATTGCATTACAGATATGTGAAAAAGTTAGCTGTCTCTAGCCCCGTTTTGTGTGTGAAGTTGGAATATACTTGAAATTCTACAAGGGAGAGGTCTTTCTCTTATGTTGACTAAAAGTAATTGTTAGTATTCTTTCTTTCCAGAGGCGAAACATCCCAGTAAAGCCACTGGATGAAGTTAAGGTAAGTTATGCTGATACTCAGTCTGTTTTTGGGGTTTTGGGAATTTTTTTCTTGCTTTTTTACTGGAAAAAGTGTCTTGGCATTTAAAGTAGAGGAAGTGATGCTCTCTGGGCTTCCAACATTCAAATTCCTTATTTTATTTAATGTGCATCTGTTCTGTATAATAATACAGAAAAGATTGATAAGTGGAGTATATGATAAAGAAGAGGCTGTTAAGTTAGTCCTAAAGAGGCTGTCCTGGTTAGTTCTAAATTGTTTATGTTATGTCACCCATCGGAGAAGAGCTAGTCTTTATTTTTTTGTAAAGATTCTATGCAAACATCACAAAACATGATAGTGTTCTCTGGTGGCCTAGGATCTCATCATGGTAAACCAGTAAATTACACAAACTAAGAGTATTCTTAGGAAACATAAGTATAAGCTGTAAAATGCTAAGATCTAAATATAATTTGGTTCTTTAGGTTCTGCCAGTTCTCATAAAAGAAGAACACAAGTTGCGTAATGCCTGTCCGGATTCTTCCAAACAGATGATGGTAAAATAGTTTGTGTGTAAATAAAAAAAAATTTTTTTAAAAAAAAATAAAATTGGGGCATTCTTTTTGTTTCAGTGCAGGAATATGCATGCTCTGAGGTAGAAGGTTAAAATTACAGTATCTACAATAATCTTTCAGTACTTAAAATAGATTTTCTGATACTCAGTCTGTTTTAGCTGGTGGCTTGCTTTGTCCTGTTGTTCTATATGCTCTAGTTCAATTCAGCTTGCATAACTAGATCTCAGAAAGACCACTTAGGAATCTGAAAGATACTTGGATCTGCTGATGAGTATTTGAGGTTCAACCTGCTGTAAAAGCAGAAAAAACAGTAGTATTTATCAGTTTTACCGCATCCTTTGAAAATGTGTGTTAGAAAATAGGGGTAAATAATGCATATCTTATGCTTTCACAGCTACTAATCAAATCTTTCTTTTAAGTGGTACAGGTTTTACATTGGAAATTATTTGTGACAACGGAACATATGCACTGTATTCCATGGCAATTCACGTAACAATTATATGGATTAAATTATAGCAACTAATAAAATTTATAGTTTTATAGATATTCCTTATGTTTTGTGGAAAGGTTTGTATTTCTCTAGAAGGTAATTGGTTATAATTCATGAAAGTGCTAAGTTCCCTCTTTCTAAAAAATAATACCTGGTTGTGTATTTACCTGCATGTCTTATTCCTCCTACTGGAATAGACAACCTCAGAGAATTCTGTTAGGGTGTGTTTTGAAACTTGATGACTTTTACTTTGATCTCTTACTTTTTGCCATTACATAGCAGTACTGCAACAGGTATGGAAAAAATGAAATTGTTGTAGTGCAGGCTGTATTTCATTATCCAAATGTATAGAAAAAATACTTGAAAGACCAGCTCCAGCTGATACTGTGTGTAGGGAGGCCTGCCTTACTGGTTTGATTAGTCACATACTAAAAATTGCAATAAATCCAGTGTTGCATTGAGAAGGTGAGAGAAAAGGGGATCTGGGAGTGATTCATGATGGGGGATACTGATAATACTTCTCCCTGCCAGGGTTCTGCCATGAGACAGGGATGAGCTGAGCATGTAGGATTCAGTAATGTTGGTTTCAACAGTCCCAGGTGATGAGATGAAAGACACTTAGATGACCCTGCAGATTGTTTGCCCTTCCTATGACTGGTCTGTCCTGGAACCATGTTTGAGCTGTGAGTTGCAAGTTAGCCAAGACTGGATGCTCCAGTCTCAAGTGTTGTGGTGCGCACTTTTGAGGGTATGGATCCGTGTGTTTACCTTAAACATTAAAAAGCTATTATGACAGTGTGTAACTATTGCTGGACTTTGTTTCTTGTATTTTAATAGGTTGGAGAATCTGCTGGAGACAGTAACACTTCTGACTTGGACTTTCTCTCTATGAAACCGTATTCAGATGTATCTCTTGATATTTCTATGTTAAGTTCGTTAGGTAAGTAATTAAATATACAAGCCATCAGTTTATGTTTCAGTTGCATCGTTTAGGCAAAATAACGGCTGGATTTGGTAAGAATAAAAAAGTGTTCAAAAAGTAGTAATAAGTCTACATTTGATGTAGGTAAAAGTCTGGGGCTGGTACAAGATAAATGAAACCTTGGTCTATTTTGAGACATCCATGTGCCAGCCAAGCTAGCTTTTCGTGTACCACTGAAGAAAGCAAAGTATTTGTACCTCACAATTTTGATAGCTTTGCTTGTTTTTTATGTGTTCATAGTAACATAAATTTTAAGAATCAACGTGGAGCTTTGGCTCAGAAATGTTATTGCATCATATGCTGTCTTTTGAAATAACTTGGAAAGTAGGTAAGTACGTGAAACTCAATTGTATCACCACTTGAAATGTCCTAAAACACAAATCAGAAGAAACTTCCGGTGTTGGAAAGACTTTAGCTTCAAATAAAGCAGTGGTATAAAAGTATTTGGATGTTGTTTCAAATAAATGTCTTTGGTAGGTGTTCTTTAAATATTACAAGAAGTAATGTTCCCATTTCTGCAGGCTGCTGAGCTGGTTATATGTCTCCAAAAATGTCATCACAAAAAAAAATTACTGCTTATGGTTTATGATACTTTTAATTCAGAATGTGAAAGATACCAAACTATCTATTATAAAACATAACCAAGGTAATTGAAAGCTTAAAGAAAAAAAAAAAATTCCACAGATTTCTCCCAGAGGTGCAGTATTCTTTGAAAAGCAATTGTAAGCTGATTATGCTGTCATACACTAATTTTACTGCAGTTCAGTAAAAAATACTATCTGTTTTATAGATAATGTTTAGACGTATCAATCTTACTGTGAATTTCTTGCTCCACTGAAAGATGCTTGTATTTTTCTTCTCTGATCTTTCTGTAAATAATTGGATTTCTAGATTACTTAGCTTCTGGAGAGAGTTTATGACATTATTTCTTATCATAATGCTTGCAAAGTTAGCAAGGTCTGCATTGAAGACAGTCCAAAGAGAAGGGA